AAAAGTATTACAATTCCAATTTTGTGAAAATTGTTTTCAATTTAAATACTGAAGTATCATGAATAAAAATAAGGCCTAATGGCGAGAAAATACACGACCTTTACTTATTGGCCATTTAATCATAACTTTTAAATCTTGGCAAATAAATACATGACCTTTACATTCTTAATAACTTTGATACATGGATTTAACATCCGTCAACGGAAAGCTGAGTGACAATTTTTTTTAATGGCCACATCACCTAGAAGTCTGACTCAGCAAATAGAAGTCAAATCATCAGTTAAACCTTGGCAGTTTAATACACCACCTTTAGTTTTTTGGCAACCCGATACACGAACTTAACTTTTTTTGGCAAAAAGCTGCCACATCACCATTTTGTTTTTTTGATTTAAATTCATTTAATTTATTTTTTTTATTTTTATTTATTTTAATTATACTTTTACTATTGAAATGATGTTTATAATTTAAATATATAGCGATTACAAACAAAAAACAAATAAAAAATGTATTATTTTATTTAATTTTTTAATTTATATATTTTATTTTATTCAAGTTTATTAATATTTAATGTATTCAGTATGTAATTAATAAATAATAAAAATAAATTAATATTAATATATTAAATAATGAATAATAAATAATAGAACATATATATAGAATTCAATAAAACATATAATTAAAATCTAATATATTTATTTATTTAGATAAATAATATTACATTATTTATATATGCATTTAACATATTTATTATTTATTAATCATATTTAACATATGATTAAATTATTGATATCGTGTATTCTTACAAATTTAAAAACGATAATATAATTAATTAATAATATAAAATGTAATCCATTTTAAAAAAGAACTTTCATAACAACTACACGATCAATAATTTTTGCTTAAATAAAGAAAAAAAACAGAATTATAATATTTTTAAATGATACTTATTTTTTAAAAAAATCTTTTATGTATTATGAAAATTAAAATTAATGATTGTATTGGAATGTTAAGTGATTGCTATTATTTTTCAAGAATACTAATTATTATTTATTAATTAAATACTGAATATATTAAATATTAAAAAATAATAAACTAGAATAAAATAAAATATAAAAATTTAAAAATTAAATAAAATAATATATTTTTTATATATTTTTTGTTTGTAATCACTATATATTTAAATTATAAACATAATTTCAATAGTAAAAGTATAATTAAAATAAATTAAATAATAAAAGTAAATTAAATGAATTTTAATAAAAAATTAAATAAAATGCTGATGTGGCAAATTTTTGCCAAAAAAAATTAGGTTCGTATCGGGTTGTCAAAAAACTAAAGGTGGTGTATTAAACTGCCAAGGTTTAACTGATGATTTGGCTTCTGTTTGCTGAGTCAGACTTTTAGGTGATGTGATCGTTAAAAAAAATTGTCAAGTCAATTTTCCGTTGACGGAGATTAAATCCGTATATCAAGTTGTCAAGAATGTAAAAGTCGTGTATTTATTTGTCAAGATTTAAAAATCGTGATTAAATGATCAATCAAATAAAGATCACTGTATTTTCTACGATTAGGCCTAAAAATAAATATTCAATTGTTTCACTTTCACCATTACTTTTCTCCTGTGTTGAACAATACTTTTCTCCGAGAAAAGTCGTGGCAATTTAGGATATAGTTTAAAGTTTCAACCAACCAATTAATTTATGAAAATGAAATATTAAACAATACGATAGCCTAAATAGCACTCTGTCATACATAAGTAAGCCACCTCACCAAGACAACTCCTCTACGCATTTGGAAATAATCTGATAAGCTTCAAAATTCTCCTGCAGATCACTCCTTCTCGACGCTCCCTTTCTTTTCTTTTCTTTTCTTTTCTTTTTGTCCTTTAGTTTTTTAAGTTTTCTACTCAATTTTATATTTAATTGTCATTAATTCACAATTATGTTGGGTAGAATACCAAAATGCAGCGGACAAAAATATCCCTCCAACAAATATGGCAAGCACTACTCCAAACGAAAATAAGCCAACACAAATAAATAAAAGACGGAAAATAAAAAGGACACAAAAATTGATAACGGAGTTCGGCGAAAATAGCCTACGTCTCCGGGTACCGCCAACCGCAACGCCAAATTTACTAAACTCACCAACAAAATACAACTAGGGTTAAATAACCCACAAATTAGGATTTCCTTAATTAAGGATTTCCTACCAAGAGATGAGAGAATAGAATAAGCTGCAATTATAACCCAAAGGCAAGGGACCTATTTATACTAATAAGATCCTACACATCTTTGGTATACATTCGATGTGGGACAAACAATTAATCAAAAACTAACAATTCTCCACCTTGACTAATTTTGCTCCCACTTCGACTCTTCAATCCAAATCAACTGTCGGCGGTGCCTCCAAATGCGCCTCACGGCGCCAACTCAAATATGCAGAATGTTAGTAAAGTCCAAACAATGTTCAAACTTGACTGCTGTCACTACCTTGGTCATCATATCTGCAGGATTCTCTGTCGTCTTGATCTTCTTCAACACAACGATTCTATCTTCTAGAATCTCCCGCACAAAGTGATAGCGAACATCAATATGCTTCGTTCTTGCATGAAATACTTGATTTTTCGCTAAGTGAATAGCGCTCTGACTGTCACAATGCACTAAGACGTGCTTTTGACCAACTCCCAAGTCTTCAAGCAAACTTTGAAGCCAAATAGCCTCCTTCACAGCTTCAGTAACCGCCATATACTCTGCCTCTGTTGTAGACAAAGCAACCGTTGACTGTAAGGTAGACTTCCAACTGACTGGAGCTTTCGCAAAAGTGAACAAATATCCAGTCGTTGATCTTCGCTTATCCAAATCGCCCGCGTAGTCAGAATCACAATATCCAACCACACATTGACCAAATTCATCCTGCTCATAAACTAATCCAACGTCTACAGTATTATGAATGTACCGTAGAATCCATTTCACAGCATGCCAATGACCTTTACCAGGGTCATGCATATATTTACTAACAACACCAACTGCTTGTGAAATGTCGGGCCTTGTACACACCATCGCATACATCAAACTACCAACTGCATTTGCATATGGGACTCTATCCATGTACTCTCGTTCTTCATCACAATTTGGCGATAATTGGGCACTTAACTTAATATGAGGGGCAAGTGGTGTACATGCAGGCTTCATCTCATCTGTTATGACGAAACGTTGTAGTACCTTATTCAGATATTGCTTCTGAGTCAAACAAAGCTTGCCTCTCCTTCTGTCCCTACTTATCTCCATCCCGAGAATTTTCTTAGCTTCCCCCAAGTCTTTCATCTCAAACTCTTGATTCAACTGAGCCTTCAAAAGATCAATTTTTCACTTGGCTCTTTGATGCAACCAACATGTCATCCACATACAAGAGTAAGTAAATGAAAGATCCATCTTGCAGCTTGCGTAGATACACACAATGATCATGTCTGCTTCGTGTGTACTTCTGCCCAATCATAAACTTATCAAACCGTTTGTACCACTGTCTCGGAGATTTCTTCAGTCCATACAACGATTTATTCAACTTACAGACCCAATTCTCTTTTCCAAGAACTTTGAATCCTTCTGGCCGAGTCATGTAGATTTCCTCATCCAAATCTCCGTGTAAGAATGTCGTCTTCACGTCAAGTTGAGCTAGCTCTAAATCAAACTGTGCTGCTAAGGCCAACAAAATTCTAATGGAAGAGTGCTTAACAACTAGAGAAAACACTTCATTATAATCAACTCCTTCCTTCTGAACGTAGCCTTTAGCCACCAATCTTGCCTTGTAGCGCACATCATTCTTATGAGGAAATCCATCTTTTTTTGCAAATACCCACTTGCATCCTATCGCCCTCTTGCCTTTTGGTAGTTGCGTCACATTCCAAGTCTGATTCTTCTGGAGAGACAACATTTCTTCCTCCATAGCCCTTTTCCACTTCTCATTTTCTAAACTCCGAATTGCATCTTGAAAAGTGAGGTATGTCATCATCAACAATTGGAAGTGCATAAGCCACCATATCCGCCAATCGAGCAGGTTGTTGAATCTCTCGTCTGGGCTTTCTCAATGCAATGGGTAACTCTAATGATTCTTGAGTCTGTACTTCATCATCCGACAAATCCTTTGATATTGGTTCGTCGATCATAGCTGGTTGTCTCATCATCGCATCTATCTCCACCTGCTTCGGTGTCAACTCCACCTGTTGGGTTTGCGTCGTCTTTATCATACCTTGTTCATCAAATGTAACATCCCTGCTGAACACAGTTTTGTTCGTCTCAAGACA